GAAAAGTAAAACAGAGTTGTAATCTCATATATCTCTCAAGGATTCTGATGGTGAGATCTGTGTGTTTGAGTTAATTGATCTGCACACCTGATGTAGGAGGGGGGAATCCCAATGTCCCTGTTGACCTTTTTATATGTTTCATATTCTAGAGAATGCCTTAGAAGGTGCTGGAGCACACAATGGTGGGCAGGAACACTCAGAACCTTCTGGTGGATGGGAATGCAGTTAGGAACTATGGCAGAGAGGTCTTGCTGTTGGACTATCCATGACATCTAAGCAACCAAGGCTGCCAAGCAAGCGAAAGGAGCAGGTTTTTGTCTTGATTTTTTAAAAAAACAGGCATCCCTCAAACTCTTTAAACAGATTATTGGCTTACTTTGAGATAAAAAAGCAAACTGGGATTTGCTAACAGATCTTGCAGTACCCAAATGATTTGGTGGTCTGTCTCCTCTAAACCTCCGATTGAAGTTCTTGGCCTCCCAGATGTAGCATGTTAATGGACATAAGCTAGTGAATGCTCAATCCTCTACATATAAGATTTGGTTATTCCCTACTTCCCCCAACAGGAATATCATGGGATAATAAAAAATGTATCCTAGTATACGCAATATTCTTCAGAAATTTGCTGGTTCTAAAAGTTTCAAACATTTTGCCTTCAGTCTTTCCAAGCCCTGATGAAGGTGGATTTTGCAGTCTTCAAAACTCATTTGCTTTTATGAAATAACATCCCTTGATAAAATAGGTTCTGGACTTTATACTACTGGCTTGGTGCTTTCCTTTCTGCACTCATGTAAGAATCCAGGGACTGAGTCATCCTACCAGGCTCTCCTATTACTGAAATGTTGGATTACCATCTACTCCCGGCCAACAGCTTTAGGCTCCTAGTTTTTCAGAACACTGTAACCAGGAATATCATTTTATTTTCAAATGGGTATCCATTCTTTTCTCTATTCACCAGCATGGCTCCGTATTTCCCAGTTTCTGGCAAGATAAAACTGCCACCTGCAGCAATGTAAAGGTTCATTTTTACCTGATGCTACAACAATGTTTGCTTTGAAGATAATGCCACCTTAATAAGTCACAATCTGATGGGTTTTGATCTGCTCTTTGCACGTTATTACTGAGATCTGTTATCTCCTTACATAACAGAACGTGACAATCGGCTATTATGCTGTTGTTTTAATGGCCTCTTGGGTATTTATTATCTCTTTGGCAACAGAAACAACAAACATTTTACAACTAAATTGCTGAAAATATGAAAGCACTGCAAAAAACAAATATGTTGATGAAACAAAGGAGAAGAATCGTACACTCATATGCTGAGCAGGACAGATGTAAACAAATTAGGAAAGTCTCCCACATGCCTCGTTTTCCTTTTATAGAGTTATGAAACATGCTAAAGCAACATTTTTTTTTTACCATCAAGAACTATTAACAGAAAATGCAAGTTATATTTATATAAAAGAGCTATTATTGTTACTTATGTGATGTAGATCATTCAAGGGCTAAGTAGACCCCAGCTTATGCAAAACTGGAGATACTTATACTTTCGCTAATACCCTCAACCACGTTATTTTACTGGCCTTACACTACATGTCCAAACATTTGTTGACAATGTAAACGTCACACTTACCACTATATGCCCTAAAGTATGTGGCACCTCTCCAAATGAGTTGAGATGTTTCCACTGAAGGGCACCGTTAATGCAAATGAATTCCTTTATATGTCATTGGCTATAAAGAGTAATTAGAGATGGCAACGAGGGCTTAGATGTTGACTTTTGACAAAATTGGAACTTTGCATGTCAGTTACACAGATGTTTCGTTTGTTTAAAGCCCAACTCCCGGCACAACACACTTGCAGTAGGTCCCCCCTGCAAAGGTTAAATGCTTATTAAGTCTAGGGTAGTGGTCTCCAAACTGCCCACTGTGGGCCTTTGATTGCCTTTATCCAGCTCATGGAGCACAGTTCCCCTGATTGACCATTCCTCCAACTGATACCAGGCACTGACACCAACAGTGGAGCATTATTTCTCTCAATAATGCCAATGACAGGGTGCTGGCCCTCCCAGTAATACCAATAATGGGGCACTCATCCTTCCACTAATACCAATGATGGGGCACTACTCCTCCTCCTACTGACCACAGGTGCGATTCAAATTTTTTACTACCACTGACTCCCAAGCCTGAGGCATTTTATCCCACTGATGCTTGGGCATTTTCTACTCACAGTGGCCACAATCTGGACTTTCTAAAGTCTGAAGGACAGTAAACTGACCCTTTCTTTAGACAGTTTGGAGTCCCCTAGTAAAGGGAGTAGAACAAGAGATCGTATTATTTACCTGACTCCCCACTTCAGCAGGCTATAAATCTGTGAGTTTTTGCTGCGTTGACCACCTGTAGAAGGGAGAATTTAAACCGAGGAGCCACTGGAGCCAGGTTCATGTAAAGCTGCGTGGTGTGGAAAAGTGTTGCTGTGTAAAGCGTTTTGGCCCTGAGGGGTCTTGGTAAGGAGGTGAGGGGGTATTTTGGCTATTTACGGATTGCAATACACCTGAGTGTTGCACAAGCACAGGAACTTTTTTGGAGTGATAATTGAAGCACTTATAACTACAATTCGTTGCATGAACGTTTTTGGCACATGTGTGCACTTGCACTTTGCATAGGTCCTCATGATAGACCTTTTTTTTTGCGTTGCACTTTAACACTGTGATTATCACGTATTCAGCACTTGTTTGTAAATTGTTTATTATATTTAGTAGCGCTTTACCACTACTATTCATTATTACTCTGCACCTTTGGTATAGGAAAAGGTGATAGCTGCTTGTTATACATACCACTTGTTAAGCGCAGGAGGATTTTACCCTTATACCAAAGACAGGCCATTGTTCCCTAAACCGAAGAGAAACCGGCCTTGCCTGCTGCTCCACACACCTACCCACTTGCGAAAGCATGCTGAACCGAAGGCCTGAACAGGAGCCAGGCGCTGTGTAGTTTTGTGATAGAAATAATACACCTTGTATGGAGGTGTGCCTTTAATAAGTCATATGGTAAAACAATAATAAATAACCAGCCTGTGGCTTAAGGAAGCCAGGTTCCAAGATGGACGGCCCGTCCGCTCAGAGGGAAGCAGTGGAGTAGAATGCCTGTCAGTGCAGGGACCACGTTTACCCGACGTCCCAGCGTCCTGGATGACGTCACCACGATGTGGAGAGACGGAGGGGGGGAACTCTTGCTGGAGCCGCAGCTTTAGAAGGAAGAGGCCAGTTGCTGGGACAACATGTTTTGCGCGCATGCGCTTTGTCAAGTCTCTTTCCTCACATACTCTTTCCTCCCTGCACTGTGAATGTTTACATGTTACATGCAATTAAACCATGGCAACATCTAATGTTTGTGTAGTATTATGTTTAGCAGACTGTGTTCTTCTATTGTTGTGACTTAGATGAGGTTCAGAGCACATTTTATGCCCAATTCATGCAAAACTCCACGTAATCTCAAGGGGTTCACGTACTTTTTCTTGCAACTGTACATCCGTGGGACCATGTAGATGCTCTTTTTTATTTCTTTTTTATCTGCACAAACAGTTATATTACGTTTTCATCCCCTTTGTGTGTGTTTTTTTTTCTCTGTTATAAGTCTGCAGCTTGCTGAAAATTGTGATCCTGCTAGTTCAGTTTTATACTGTACCCTTTGGAAAGCAGGTAAAGCAATTTAATTTTTAACCTTTTTTCAATTATTTTTAGGCTTGAGTAAATACTTCTCAAAGCAACAATAAAAAAATAGACAAGAGTACAAATTCAAGCACAGTTTTAAAAAAATATCAAAGGCTAATTTTAAAAGATTTTGGAATATAACGCGTGTTCTCCTTCTGTGCTTTTGCAACAGAATAGAAACCTCCATGTGAGCCTATTCTTAGTTTAAAATCCTATAAATGTTGCAAGGCGACAGAAAGCCAGCGAGACACACAGGTTTTTTTCGATGCTCATGTAATTCCATATTTTCGGTTCTGTGTCAGACTCTGGAAGTTTCTTCGCCTCGCTCCAAACACAGATAAAGTTAACTGCAAAGAACACGCAGGCCCCATTAAATTACGCAACTGAGATATAACACAAAGTGCTATGGCACTGGACCAAGACGGGGCGTCTGAAGCATATTAAATTACTTGATGGGTGTTAATATTTCATCAGCTGGCTGAGCTGGCTGAAAGATTTCATGTTTAAAATGAAGATAAATCGGGGGCCAAAACATGAATCCTCTCCCCTCAGTTAACCTCCTACCGGACAACATGATGACATCTCCTTGACAACAAGATGGCTGCCATCAGTCACATCACCAGGCCAAGAGATTTTCCAGCGGTAGGAAAACATCACTTATGGCTGACACAGTCATAATGACTGACCTTGATCTGCCTCTGAGCTAAATGAATTAGCTGTACAAATCTGCAACTTCACAGTATATTTCCCATATGGATGGCCAAACGGATATCTCTCTGACAGCTGTTAAGGTTGATTAACCATCGTAATTCCACTTGATTCAGGGTTTTGTGACCTCCCCAGGGGCCCCAGGTATGTTTACCTGCTGTTGGATAGAAATCACTCTAATAATCCGCAGCAGACCAAACCTACATATAATATTAGTGTATGCAAACCATAATAATGAACAATTCTTTTTTGCTTCCTTATAATCTTTTAAAGCCAAGCTCCAGGTTTACACTCATTTTAAGTGAAGCCAAAGTATCTGTTCCCTTTATTAATAGATGCACCTGCTATCAGTGTTGTATAAACTGCGTGCCGCATTAGCTGCATACAGTATATATCACTTTGTTCCGGCTGTGGAAAAGGGACTTCCCTTCTGCTGCCGGAACAAAATTAGGTTGGGCTGCAGAGCCTGATCTAACCTTTCTGATCTGATCTGCATCAGAGTACCCCCTTATATCACATGTCTTCATCAGAGTGCCCCCTTACATCAAGTGTCCCCATCAGAGTACCCCCTTATATCACATGTCTTCATCAGAGTGCCCCCTTACATCAAGTGTCCCCATCAGAGTACCCCCTTATATCATGTGTCTTCATCAGAGTGCCCCCTTACATCAAGTGTCCCCATCAGAGTGCCCCTTACATCAAGTGTCCCCATCAGAGTACCCCCTTATATCATGTATCTTCATCAGAGTGCCCCCTTACATCAAGTGTCTCCATCAGAGTATCCCCTTATATCACGTGTCCCCATCAGAGTACCCCTTACATCAAGTGTCCCCATCAGAGTGCCCCTTACATCAAGTGTCCCCATCAGAGTGCCCCCTTACATCAAGTGGCCACATCAGAGTGCCCCTTACATCAAATGTCCCGATTAGAGTGCCCCCCCCACACAAATTGTCCTCATTACAGTGCCCCCTTACATCAGCTGTCTGCATCAGAGTACCCCTTATATCAATTGTCCTCTCAAAGTGCTCAAACATTAATTTCCCCATCAGAGTGGCCCCTTAAATCCGGGTCCACATCAGAGTACCCCCTTATATCAGGTGTCTTCATCAGAGTGCCCCCTTACATCAAGTGTCCCCATCAGAGTGCCCCCTTACATCAGGGTCCCCATCAGAGTACCCCCTTATATCAGGTGTCTTCATCAGAGTGCCTCCTTACATCAGGGTCCCCATCAGAGTACCCCCTTATATCAGGTGTCTTCATCAGAGTGCCCCCTTACATCATGTATCTCTATCAGAGTGCCCCTTACATCAAAAGTCCCGATTAGAGTGCCCCCCCACACACACACAAATTGTCCTCATTATGGTGCCCCCTTACATCAACTGTCTGCATCAGTGTACCCCTTACATCAATTGCCCTCCCAGAGTGCCCCTAACATTAATTTCCTGATCAGAATGCCCCTTTACATCAAATGTTCCCATCAGAGTGCCCCCTGCATCAAATGCCTCATTACAGTCCTCCTTATATCAATTTCCCCCATCAGAGTCTCCTCTACATCAAATGTACCCATCAGAGTGCCCTCCTACATCAAATGCCCCATCATAGTCCCCCTTACATTATTTGCCCCCATCAGAGTCCCCCTTACATCAAATGCGCCCAAAAGAGTCCAGCTTACAGCAATTGTCCCAATCAGACTGTCTAATGGATCAGTGGATGCATTCTCAGAGATCTGTGAGGGAACAACTAAAAGGGGGGGGCACAGCTCACCCCAGCACCCCCCTAGATCCGGGGGTGCTGCTCATCCATTCACAGGAAGCCTTGTATTTTTTAGCAATGAATACAAGGGTTTCTCTGATTGGCTGACATGGAGAGGTGAATGGATTACATCAAAATCTCCAAGTAAGCCAATCAGAGGAAGCTTTGTATTCATTGATAATATATAAGGCTTAATGTGAACGGCTGAGCAACACTCATCCCAACTTGATTTAGTTCCGGCAGAGGAAGTCCCCATACCACTGCTGGAACACAGCGCTGCATACTGTATATAGCTGATGCTACACACATTTTTAAACAGCCCTAACAGAGAGTGCATCTGTTAGTAAAGGAAATAGTTAATATGGGCCAGCTTGACCCAAACAAACTATTTAAATTGAATGTGAACTTGGACTTTGGCTTTAAAGTGTTCCTAAACCCCGGACCCTGCATTCACTATATCTGGTCTCCCCAGACCCTGCATTCACTATATCTGGTCTCCCCCCCAGACCCTGCATTCACTATATCTGGTCTCCCACAGTACACAGAACATGGAAATGAAATTATTTTAGTAAATATAAATTGCTAAATACCTTTTCTCATCAGCAGTATATAGCAGTCTTGTGACTTCTATCAGTGTCCAGCTGAGCACTGGTTAAAGCTTTTTCATTCTACTCTAGGAGGATGCAGAACCCCTGACCTCTGTTTGGACAGTGCTGATTGGCCCTGTGCTGATCACATGCACTCTCCCAAGAAAAACAAAAAACCTCTTTAGCAATGCACACCAAACTGAGCATGTGCAGAGTGACTCCACACGCTATGTCTTATCAGGAGATAAGAGGGGGACACTAGAAGAAGTGGAGGATCAGAGAAGACAGGATCAAACAGCCTTTTTACACAATGCAGAGGATTAACCCCTTAGGTTCCACAGTGAGTATAACAAGCATGCTTTACTGCATATACAGACTGATTTTACTGCTGTGGGTTTAGTATCACTTTAAGTTGATGAGTTTAGTTCTGCATTAAGAATACATACTTAAATAAAATTTTGAATGAAAAAAATGAATAAAATGTTTGGTTTCAACCAGAATTTAGTGTCACTTTTGAAAGCAGGTCTACTTAAAGTATGTATGTGCTATACCTGTGGGATCCAAACTGGACCAATGTAAATACGTAAAATTGGCATATCAAGCAGCTACTGCCTCATAGCCAACATCTCAGTTTCAGCACTGTGGACAGCGCCATAGCCTCACTAGGTACCAATGGCTGACAGCTAGATAGACTGATTTTACTGTTGTGGGTTTAGTAACACTTTAAATAGACCATTGCCAGTGTTCCTTTATATCTGTTCGATAAGTGTCAAAAAACTGTCAAGTTGATCCTGCCAGAAATCTTGTTAGATGATTGTGTTCTTCACTGTTATCAGTTTACATCATTCCTAGCTATCTCTGAGGACTGAGAATGCCTCCTTCTTATGTTTTGGAGAATTAGACAGGGGTTGTTCTATGGTTCTCTCCTAGGGTGACAACACTTCTTATTGATAGGTAAAGTATAGTGCAGGGGCGTCCCTAGGGTTGGTGTCACCCAATGCGATAACACTTGGTGACACCAGCTTCGATGATCCCCACAGAATGGATCGGATCCATTATGCTCAATCCGCAGATCCAATCCATCCTGCGGGGATCGTCGGCTTGCTTTACAACTTACCTTTTTGTGGAGTGAGTCCGGTGTCACCCTGTGCGGTAGGTGTCACCCGGTGCAACGCGCACCCCCCGCACCTGCCTAGGGACGCCCTGGTATAGTGAGTGAGTGTTATTACCCTAGGACAGGAGGTGTGTTACTGGCAAGATCACCAGGTTAAAAAAAAGGGGAAAAAGTCTGAAAAAAGAAAACTAATGCAAACACCAAATTACTGCTCCTGTGGTTAGATAGACTTTAACCTTGAGAGTGGTGAAGGGTATCAGTGCATGAACATTAATTTACTGGGAATTTATTAGAGATAGATTGATTTGTCTTTACAAGAAGACGGATATTTTTTTTTGTAAGTTTCTTTTGCCGTCAAACCTGTGGTCGACTTTTTTCAAAATGGATCTTTTTGTTTAGTTTTGGACAGTTTGTGAAAGGTTCCATTCACACTTCGCGCAGCGGGAATCACTTTTTTTGTGTGCATTTCCGTGCTTTGCACATAGGGCAATCCATTCAAATGACTCAAGTCATTCAGGTGTGGAGCATTGAGCATTTGTAGCATGTTTGCCCCGTGGCAGATATGTGGCAAAATGCACGTGTGCTAACCGTGTTTGGGGCGCCAATAACATGTGGCGTGTGTTTGCATCGCATTTTCTGTGCATTTTGTTTGCGTTTTGATGCTTAATCAGGAAACGTCAATGGGGTCTAGGACCTCTGTTGAGTTTTCACAGCTGTCTATGTAACTATAGTAAAATTGCTCCCCCCCTCTATGTGGTCAGCTGGACAGAGAATAAGGACATTTCAAATGGGGGACCCAAACAAAGGTTTTTTTTACTCATCCCCATTTTATCAAAAAGTAAAAAGTTAAAAAAACAAACAATTTTGTAGACATATACGTGGCTTTGAGCAGTTTATTTTCTCTAACCTCTTCAATTAATTCAACAATCCTTGTTGCTTCTATAGATATAAAAATCCAAGGACAGGTTGTCACGGTACCCTACTGCTTTTATTTCATGAATGATATAAAGTAAAAGCAGATAATATGTTATTTTCTGTTACATTGTATCATTCATGCAATAAAAAAAAAAAAAAAAGAAGAGTGCCGCAACTCTCTGTCCTTGGATTTCTACATATACCACATTGTAGGAGATGGAACGTAGGTTACCTTCCTGTTGTAAGGACACACTAGCAATCTCAGAGGCAAAAGCGCTGCTTCCCATACACTGTACGTAGCGCAGACCCCAAGCCGGTCTTGCTGTTTGTCCACTCCCTACTGGGTGCACAGCAGTCGGTCTCTACACACAATAACCAGGCAGAAATCTTTTTTTGGGGGAGGGGGGGATTATTGTTTGAAGAACTGGGATGGGGTATAATATGAGCCTTGGGATACTCCAGAAGTAGCTCAAGTTTAACTGAGGATACTCCAGTAGAAACTAACTTCTTCAAGGTAGGCCTCTAGTATAAGAGGATGTGGACATGCAACTTAGGGGGGTCCCACACTGGAAATAACCCTGAGCCAGCAGATCTGGAACAGTCTCTGAAAAAAAGAGGTCAAGTAACAACAGTTTCTCCAGGATCCCTCTCTCTCTCTCAGGGCCTCTACTCACTGTGTCCCTGTATACATGAATGCCTTCTTCCAGTATCAGCCAGACCCGGTACCGTGAGTCCCCCAGCCAGTTCCTCAGCAGACTTTTCTCCAGTGTGGTGCTGTGCTCCACTACAGTATATGCAAAGCAATCAAACAAATATAAAACAGATCAATTCAAAATGATTAAAAATAAATCGAAATGAAAATGAAAATCTTTTAACAAATATTCAAGTGTCATTTTCAAGGAATCAGATTCCCCCTGATGAAGCCACTTGACCCTGTGGCGTAACACGTAGGGGAGGGGCTTTGTTGTCATGATGCTCAGTAAGCAGTGGAGAGAGGTATCAGCTGGCTGTGCATGCCAGGTCTGCTAACGGCAGTCTGTATAAGTTGTTCCTTCATTAAGCACATACCATTGATATACATGTGAGTGGAATATAGCACATTTTAACCGCTTGCCGTCCGACCGCTGTAATGGTAAACGGCTGGATGGTGGCAGTCCAGGGGCGGGTTGCAGTTTTTGTGTGCGCTCCCTGGGAGTGCGTAGCACCGCAATCCGGTGCCTGCTGTGTCCTCCGGAAACAGTGGAACACCAATCGTCGTACGGGACCTCTGTGCGAGGTCCCGATCATGTGATCACTGATTGGCCAATCAGTGATCACATGCAGAGTAGTAAGCAAGATGTCACTTCTGACATCATTGCTTACTACGTGTGAAATCTGTGAATGATCACAGAGGTCACATGGTACAAGGCTATTCACAACAGCCTTGTACCATGTGACAAGCTGTGACCAATCACAGCTCACACAGTAGTTCTCAATGGCTACAAGAATGCAGACAGAGAGAAAGAGAAATGAATTCTTTTACAGCCTTTATGGGTGTAAAAGCAATCAGTGTAAAAAAAAAAAAATCTTCATCACCCCCCACAAGTAGTACAGTGTCACCATGGTGACACTGTACTGCTAGGGTGACAGTATGTAGAAAAAAAACATAAATAATAATAGAAAAAAATAAAATAAAAATGTAAAAAATAAATGTTTTTTAATTAGAATTTTTGGTTATAAACTAATTTGGGTTATTTTCTTTTTACTAAAAAGATAACTGAATACATTTTGGCCAAGATTTATGATGAAATATTATTTATTTATTTTCAAAATGTTATAAGAAAAACACTTTTTTTCAAAATGTTTGGACTTTTTCATTTATATAGTAAAAATAAAATAAAAAATAAAAATCCCAGTGGTGAATAAATAACACCAAAATAAAGCTTTATCTGTCTCAAAAAAATGCTAAAAAATTCATATGGGTGTAGTGTTGCATGACCGCGCAATTGTCATTCAAAAAGTGATAGCAAGCTGAAAATTGGCCTGGACAGGAAGGGGGTAAAAGTGTCCGGACTTGAAGTGGTTAAATAAATGGTTTATAAGGATAAAGCACTATGTTTTGATGATCTGGAGGAGGACAACTAGAGCAGTGAAGGAGACTCAGACCCATTGGATAGTA